CGGAATCCTTATGGAATCATGGGATGGAATCATTTTTGATGCGGCACCTGTGCGCTAAGGATTGCCTTTCTGTTTCCCTTCCTCGCTCGTTCGCTCACTCACCGTTCGTTCTCTTATTTCACGGCACGAACACTCCGAGCGGACGAGAGAAGCTACGAAATTCGGAGAAAAAATAATGTCAAATCCGTCCTTCCGAGAAGGCGACCTCGTCGTTCTCATGAGTATCTCACGTCCGCTCATGTGCGCGCGAATCATGACGACAGATCTCTCGGCCCCGGGCGATGAGAGAGCTAATTAGGTTTCGTGGTCATCTTCGAGGTAATCTTCCTCGCGAGCTAGGCAACCTTACTGAATGATTCCAAGTCGCGTCAGTCGGCGCTTGAAAATCGATTTTCCTCACCGGTCGCACCGTTTTGCCCTCTCTCTTTTTCTCTCCTTCTCTCTCTCTCTCTCTCTCTCTATCTCTCTCTCTCTCTCTATCTCTCTCTCTCTCTCTCTCCTCTCTCTATCTCTCTCCACTCTCGGTCGCACATATTAATGAGATTCCGTCGCAGTAGTTTCAGTCGAAATTCGAAAAGATTGTCATTGTGTGTCGTAAAAAATTCAATGCAAAGCAAGATCTATACAAGGCGAGAATATCGTATTCCACATATTAATTTTTCATTCTCGGCGAACAACTTTCGTACTTTCGTAGTAGTTTCTTGCGCTCTCTTTCTCTTGACTGGAAGGAACGCATGAGCGCGAAGCTAATTTGAAGACGGTTTCGTTTGCGGAGAAATACGAAGCAGGATAGAAGACGTCGTAATGTTTCGCTGTAACCAAATAATAGTCCCGCTGAGATAGCAAACGAGTTCGCGAAGTTTGCGAGGTTCTTCTTTATCGTCGAAATTGATGAAGCAAAAGTTGCCCCGCCACGATGACCTTTAATGTGTGGCGGCAAGGGCTTCGGTAAACTTCCGTTCGCAACTTTTTGCAGTAATTAATTCTCATGATTAGAGGCACTCTCAGGACTCTCATACTCCCGTCGCGAGTAAATGCGTAAATCGCGCAAATCTACTTTGCGGAAGCGGGAACTGGGCAGCGGAGGAGCGGAGAGAATTGGGTGGGACTGGAGGTGAGGGAGATGAAATTGTTCCTTTCCGTGCGTGTAAACGCCGGGATTAATAATGATAACGCTCTCGTCGCGCGCTTTCGCGTGCGATGCTTCCGAGAATTTTGTGCGGGAGCATCCTTCGAGAATATTACGAGAAACTTTATGAGGAACAAATTTCTTATTTCCTCGACAATTCTCTAATTTCCTGTATGGTTAGCGCTCCTTATTGTGGTCCATTGTGAGCACGAGGACATAAAGCAGCGACATAAGATTGCTCGACGTTCCATCTGTAGATAAGAAGTTAATTTGACGGGACGATTCAATGAAAATTTTGCACAAAAGGGAGAGAGCCAGGTCGAAGGAAGATAGAAACAAAGAGAGACGGAGAGAGAAAGAGAGAGGGAAGGGGGGGAGAAAGGACAGAGACAGAATTTGCGATGGGGGGAGCGCATTTTCAATATACGAGCGGAGAGATGTAAAAGCTAAATCTATTATTTCGCAAAACTCGACGTAAAACTTGAAACTGAACACGTCGCGTCCAGGTACGTGCGTCCCCGCACTACGCTCTCCCTCATCATACGCAGGAAAAGTCATTTTTTCTTTTAGTGGGTGATCAACACAGAGAAGAGCTCGATGTAGATAGAGAATCCACAACCGAGGAAACAGTCTCCGGTAATACGCAGAGCTGCACGAGCAAAGGTCAGTCGGGCGGTTGACTGGCAATTTAATATACGCTCCATATTGTTCGTCCCCTTCTTCGCGACACAATTGTATAATTTTGTAATTGTCCCTCGTCCGTCACGATATTCCCGAGACCGCGATAACTCGCCCGATGCGCTGAGGTCCCTTTTTTCACAGACCGTAATTTCTCCGTATAAAAAAAAGGCAAAAGGAAGAAAAGAGAGAAATAAAGAGGAAGATCGCAGGACGCGACGTGAAAACAACGACGGAATGCGCAGCAATGATAAATCGCCCGTTATTCTTGCGTCTAGTGTGCGAAGGCTATTCATCGTAATATAATTCTAAAACTTGTTGCAACTGACGGAACAACGCTGTTGAACGAAATTCGCCGCACCCATGCCTGCGCGCCCGTGTACACATACGCGTTACACTGCCATAAAGAGAAATAAAAATTCGCCGCCTCGCGCCATAAATCTTTGCCGGTAATCATTTCTTATAACGTCTGGAGGGATCCACATGCAGCGTGCTATTTTGTGGCGATAGAAGTTCCGCGCATGTGTACGCAATCATGCACGTGATACGCGCTTCTGCTGCAACGAATCGGGGGCGTCAGGACTAGAGTTTCCAATCCCGGGATCCTGGATCCCGGGATCCCGGGATCCCGGCCAAATTTTTCTTCCCGAAAATACGGGATTCAACGTCACAAATCCCGGGATTTCGGGATTTCAAAATTTAATGCTTAGTGTCTATATAATACTTACGTTTTACAAAAATTTTACTTTAACAATTATTACTTATTACTGATGACTTTAGAGCATTTGCTAGAGAAGTGTGTATTTGTATTTTAAATTCAATTCCATGTATTATTTTTATTTGTTTTAAATATTAAGGGAGTTCTCTATTTCAAATTTCGCGGATAAACTGGCGCAACACAGACTTGAATCCGGGATCCTCGATCAGATATTTTTTAACGAAATTTATGTTTTATTATTTTTAAAGTCGCTTTTTCAATGTGAAAAAGAAGAAACAACTATTTTTATTTTTATTACAAAAACTTTAATTTTTAATTGTAACGGTTTTTGTGCAATCATTAATGTAAGTTGCTTTCATTTTTACTGAAATCTTATTTTTTGTTTGTCATAATGTTCATAAAAGTCTATGAACGTTCTATAAATAAAATAATTCTATTATTTGTAAATATTCCTTGTTTCTTTCTTTACATATATATAATCCCGGGACTAGTCTCGGGATCCCGGGATGAAATCCAAAAAATCCCGAAATCCCGGGATTCTAAATCGTATCCGAGATTGGAAATTCTAGTCAGGATCGAAAGGATCGAAGGACGGAGCGCGAAAGTCGGTCGATTTAACGTGGAGCATTTTCGGATTTTTTACCCTTTGCCTTTATGCCTTGCAACTATCAAAGCGATTGAAATTACTTGCTTCTTGCATCTTCTCGTAAAGATTTCCCCAATGTACGCAACGTGATGCAATTGTCTAATGGGCGTTGAATAAAACAGAAAAGAATAAATGAACATTTTTATGCAACATATTTTTCCAAAAACTTGTCACTTTGACCGAGCAAAATCGATCATGTTGATTGTCGACAGTTTGAAGTGTCGAAGTCTTGTTGAAGTGAAGTGTCCGTTCGTGATCGAATAAAAGTCATGTTATGTTTTAGAAATTAGAAAAATCAAATTTTTTTATATACTTCAGAGTTTTTAATTGCACACGACTCGGAGCTTCAACATTTGATTGACAACGAGCAAGTTCCTTTCAATTTTGACTACTTGGTATTACTTGGCAAAAAAAATGCGCAATCGTTTGTAACAAGCAGCGTCTGATTGTTTCGACAGATTGTCACAAGTAATCATAATTTTGTTATTAACTATTGAATGCGCGACAATTACCGGAGATAATATTTCATCGAGCATCTTGGAATGCGGGTTGATCAATAGCGCCTTCTCTTCTTAGAATACCAATTATTGTACACAGCGGGGCGTCGTTAGAGACAGCTCTCTCACCTCAGACGATTTATTAAAGCCGCTATAGGATTCGATAACGTCTAGACCAAATGCCTCGTAATAAAATATTCAATCGCGCTTTTTCAGACATGCCAATACCACCTTCGTCTTCAACGTGGAATCAGAACTATTTATATCAAGAAGTTCTGACGATAAAAAATTCACGCTGCGCGTTTCAGGCTGCTCGAGTTTGGACGTTTTGACGAACGTATCGTCGTCACGGCAATTTCCACAAATCGCTCTGCTCACTTGGGAGTAGAATTTTCTAGACGGCAATATAATTTCACTTATAACATTTTTTTATACGATATTATAAGTGAACCACTAATGCATTACATTGAAAAAGAAAAAAGAAACAAGAAAAAAAAACAGTACGAACGGAATGCAATGCACACACGCAGGTGTCCGTTCCAGTGCATTGCCAAAAATATCTTATCGCTGCCTTTCACACATTTCGAGACATGTCAAAGATATCAATTTTTACGACAGCGCATTACCACCATCGAAATGCACTCGAAAGGCGGCGCATAAATTATTCCAAGAACGTTCTCGAGCTCGTTCCGACCGCGGCAGCGCAACTTAGCTTTTAGCTTTTAGAATTTTCATCTTTCGCCGAGCCGGTGATCTTTTCGTTCTTTGTACGAGCACGCATTATGCTATTACGACTGGCTAGACGTTGTCTTAAAAAATGCAACAGATCTCGCGATGCACAATGTAGAAAAAGAGAAGAGAGCAACCGTCGTCGCGTCTGTGCATCTAACTGACGATTAAAATTTAATGAGCCGACGTGCGAAATGTGACATTCGCTCAAATGATTCCGCACTTACCGAGGATCCACTTCAGTTACGTATACGCGCACAAACGTGCGCAGAATCGTGTCACGATACAACATCGACATATAATATCGATTGAGAAAAACAGACCTGAGAAGAAAAGCGCGGCTCTCGGCTCACAATATACTCTATCACCAGGTCTAATTGCGATGATACAGACAGGCATGAAAAATCAAATCTCTCTCTCTCTCTCTCTCTCTCTCTCTCTCTCCCCCTCTCTTTCCCGTAGGCGCGCGCGTCCTATGTAGAGTCGACATAAAGAATCAAAGTCGCCACGAGCAATTAAACGAGCGTGCGGGACCAACGGAAGCGAACTTTGCCCGACAATCACCCGTCGGTTGTCGCGCTCTTTCCTTCAACAAATCATGATATTATCGGCCGAAATCCCCATCATCCCGAGTGCACGATAAGAGAACGCGCGCCGCGTGGGATGCTGGGAAGAGGGGTTGGTTCGGTTCAAGCCGGCGCCCTCGCGCCACAAGTTCCTTCAGTATACGCGCGTAGCTACATTCGGTTGGACCCTATCTCGTATCGTGTCCGAGAATCGCGTCGCCTTTCGATGAAAACTACCACGAGGAGGTCGTATTTTGTCGAAAGCGGCTTGTATTACGCGACGATGTACCATCGCGGGCCCGATAAGAAATAAGAGAACTTCGGGAATTCGGGCCGGCGTCGATTTGAAAAAATTCACCAGTCTCCAAAGTGCTTCTTAATTTCGAACGGCCGTCCCCATAACTTCGAACCCGTCGCCCTGTGTAGGGATTTGCATACCGCTCGATCGCTCGTCGGGGACATCAAAGCGACGGAATATCGACGTGACCTGCTGCGCGTTCTCGTCGTGACGGTTTCTCGATTCTTCGGGAACTTTTCGTAACGACGCCGTTTCCGTCCAATATCACGCGGATCGCTCAAAGTGCTCTTCGAATCACGATGAACAGAAGGGTGCCGCTGGTGCGGAAATGAGCCGTTTACGGCTCGTGTTCGTCTTTTTCCCGTCGCGAGGGCTGTGCTCGCTAACGAGAAACTTTCGCGTCGGGTAGATCGTAAACAATCGCGCCGCGAACAATCTGTACGCGCGACAATGTAATTCCGTGATTTTCAGGATATCTCACCTCGGCGGCACAATTGTAATTTTCGCATCATGTCCGCCAGGGAGATTCAATTAATTCCAATTTGCACGTACCAGCAGTACCGAGGCAATATATCCCGAGTCCCCCGTGGCTTCTTCCGGTACGTTTGATAATGCCCGTCTCGAGAATTCTTCCGTTGAAAATATCGCTCGAGATTTTTCTCTCGAGACAAAAAGCGCCGACCGCCCGCACGCGTAACCCCCACGAAGCATCCATTCATATCGCGAAGACGCCGTAGTGCTTCGACGACAAGAAGGAAGGACGGCGATATTAAAAGAACGAAGTTTCACTAAAGGGTAAGCAGAGAGCCTTGATCACGTAGAAACATAAAACTACCGCTTTAACGCTCAGAAATTGTCTTCCTCGTTCAGTTCGCTGTCCAAGACCGTGGCGATAAATTCGCGTTAACGTGAAATCATACCGACGTGTATTAGCCGGAGAGAGCTATATCAACGGCAGCTTGACCGAGTGCTTGATATTAGTTCAGATCGAGATAACTTTGTAACAGCGTTTTACACTTCACGCCCGCTTCCCCGTTCATCCACATCTCTCCCCGCGGTGACGATTGAACAAAAAATTCCGACGCCGAATCACCCTCATTTATCGCCTATGTGCTATTCGACATCGACTCGTGTATACGGTGACATTCATTTCGAATAATCCACTTTTGCCGACGTCGATGAAACTGCACGCGTTTTCAGAAGAAGAAAAAGACAAATGAGATACGTTTCACTTTACATTAATAGCTCTCTTTGTACGGGCGAAAAATTTGTATAATGAATTAAAACGATGATATTGCAAATTCCGTTAGATAAGATATTCCCGTTCTTGCCGTTAATTAATCACGAAGAGAAATTAAACAGAGAAAGGATTACCGTCTTTTCCTCACAAAGACTTTTTTTTATCTCGCTTCAACTCGCCGCTTCGTTCATTCGCCGGGAGAATGGTTCGCTCATGTGTTGTGTCAAAAGCAAAATTTTCGTGTCGCTTCCGCCCCGTTATCCTAAGTATTGTTGCAAAGATCTAGCCATCAACCTTTACTTAGGACCCGAAGAAAGAGCCAATGGCCAAACGACGAACCCTCGGACCCGACGGGAATGTCGTAATCTTCGCGACGCGCATAGGATCGTTGCGCGTCCCTTTACGACGCAGTAATTCTTTAACGAGGCCGTGCACACCGTGAGTCTATGCTCGGTTATCGGTGTAACTACTACAGCGGCATAGCTTTCTTACCTTTGACGGAATAACATTGGCTGTGCCATCTAAGACTCTCTCTCTCTCTCTCTCTCTCTCTCTCTCCCCTGCGAGCGTATCCCCTTCGGTTTTACCCCTAAACTCAGCGGAGCGTATAGATGAGTTCCGCGGGAGTGATTATCAAGCACCAGGGCGTTTGCGCTCAGGCACGTCGGTGTTTTTTGTTTTATTCGCGATTGTTGCTGATTGCCTTCCCGCTTTCGCTCGTAAACGTCAACTTTGAGAATATGAAAATGACAAATGGCGCGCGAATCGAACAAATTCGAACCTGAGATGTATGTGTGTATGTTTTTTTCTCTTAGGAGCAGGAAGTGGCAACAGAAACACTCTTAAATGACGAAAATGCTCGTAACGTTTGAAAAAAATCGATACGTTGCTCATCGGTTCTCAATTTTATTGTGACAGTCAGTCATCAGTATCTTCAATAATTTTCAAATAAATGATAGCCGAGACAGGCATACGGATATAAAAATCATCGAGTTCAAAGTGAACAGGTGAACATTAGGCGCGGTGACGGTAAAGTAAATTTTCCAAAACGTTAATCGTGGCGGCTACTCGTATCTAAGATGTCGGCGAATACATTTGGACGTTGTGCACCAGTGGGAAAAGATACTTTAGTAGCATGCATTTGCGCAAGGAACGTTATGTCCCAGCAGTGATTTATCGTAACGTTTCGCAGATAACGTACTCTTTTTCTCTTTCGTATCTCTTTCCCCGTCTCTTTCTCCCTCCCTCTCCCCTTCTCTCTCTCTCTCTCTCTCTCTCTCTCTCTCTATCTCTCTCTCTCTCTCTCTCTCTCTTCCTTCCTTTCCGTCCAAAGAGAGGTTGGCTTTAAAGACTGATCCGCTTAAGACCGTTATCGTGTAGTGGCGAAAGCGATATGATAATATTACGATTTGCATTTCATTAGTTAATTTCAGGTGCGCCTTTAGACTCGTGTCAATTTAGAGGCAAGGAAGAGGGGAAGTTGCCATAGAGAGAAGGAGACGGAGAAAGAGAGAGCAAATACTAAGAGATCTCCCCCCGTGCCCCTCTCGCCGGTAATATTATTTCGCGTTTATTACTCCCAACTAAATCTGTCCTCGATTTCTCACTTTATAAAGGGTTAAACAGAGACGCGGGCGCGCCTCTCGTCTGTTAATACGAGACGAGCAACTTTCAACGAATGCAAACTCTTCCGCGGAGAAGCGAAGTTTGTGCCTAACTTTCGAGCCGAAACTCGATTTTCGTCTCGCGGATTTTCGTCTGCTCTGATCCGCCGCGCGGATTCCGCACACCGCGGCAGATGTGCGCGGCGCATCGGATCCGGTTTACCGCGTTTTGGGACCTGCCAAAGTTACTGCCAAAGTCGAATCGAAGAGACAGGGAACGCATTAACATTCGAGGGGAGGCGATAACGCCGCAGAGCCGCTGATGCCGCGACTCGGGAGAGCTAATGGCCGGCACTGCGTAGTCCGCTATTACGAACGAGCTGCGACTCGCGCGCCAAGTTATACTCAACGCCGAAAGTATCACCGGCTTGTCTGAGTGAGACAAGACGATCGTGAGATGAATATGCATCGCAACAATAGGGACGAGGATTAACTCTTGACACGGATTCCGGACTGTCGCTTCGTTCTCAAGTCGTTCAGTCGCACTGTAGCGAGTTGAAGCGAATAGGCCCGAAGAGGGTCGGACGAGAGAAAGAGAGAGAGAGAGGGAGGAAGGTAAAGGATGGAGAGCTCAGTCTCATTAAGTTCGACTGGAAAATCACGCGGGTAGCAACCGCCGAAAGCAGCAATCTCATCGCGGGCAATTTCGTTAATTTCAACGCCCGCGTGTTGTCGCGAAACGACGGAAATCTTAATAATACAATAATGTCATTCTCTCTATCTCCCTTTCCCCCTGCCCCCCGACTCTCTGTCTGGCCGCCGTTCTTATCGCGAGTAATTGTATTAACGTTTATGCGAGCACATTTCCGCGGGACAATCCAAATTTGCATAAGCGAACGGGCGAAAGCGCTTTACATTAGCCTTAACGTTCTTTCGTGAGTTTCATGAATTTCGCTCGAAATACTTGCAAGAACAATTAACTATGCGTGCCGAACGATAATAGGGCGATATTACTGATTTTTCAGCGAGGGGATGTCTCGACGAGAGTGAGGTGATCCCGTCGTCGCATACTTCGCTCCGCGATATTGACATTCAATCGCTTGTGTTTGTCGCTGAAATGCCGCGCTTTACGTGCGGAGATTCGAAAGCGGGAAGGAGAGTCGCGACTCGCGGGAGGGGGGTGGCTGAAATAATCAATGAAGATAAGTTGCGGGCCTTGCAACAAAAACCAACATCGCCCTGTAACACATCTCGTTATTTTAACACGAACGCCGTTGAGCCGCGTGTCCGCGCGCCGATGGTGATTTTAATCTCGATATTACGATATTCGATTAATCACGCGCGTCGCGGCGTCCGCGAGACACGCGAGCGTAAATGAGGGCGCTATTGTCTCGCGATAATAATTTTGCGCGGCTTCAACTGCCGCGCGAGTACTTACGATTTAAACTGTAGCCAGGTATTTAATAATCGCGCGATTATAATGCAGCGCCAAGTTAATCGCGCGTTTTATTCGCGCATAAACGAGGGTCCTTTATTAAAAAGAGGAGGGCGGGCGGATTTATGAATCATGGGCCGGATCTTAATCATTCGTTCTTTCTTCCCTGTTATTTTACGTAACATTTAATTCCGAAGCGCGCGGAATTCACTCGCAGAATGCGCGGACTGCTTATTTTGCGTCAGTTATGCGGTTTAATTCGCATTCATAACGCAATCTGTCATAACTCTTGTTACTGAACAAACGACTAATCACAACTCAGATCCTCTTCCTTTCTCTCTTTTTCTCTCTCTCTCTCTCTCTCTCTCTCTCTCTCTCTCTCTCTTCCAACGAATCCTTGGAATGTCCGATGCTAAAAGTGCGCGCAAACCTCGGCGAGTATCCGCGGATATTTAATTATGTAATATTTTATTTCAAGTGCAGAGAGCAACGAGTGATTCCGTATCAGCGGCGGCGTCTACGTGTAGTCACCGTGAAACATGGGAATTAAATGTTTGACGCGTCGACGTGCCAGTTATGGCGCCAGCCGCGTTTAATTCATTTGTGAGAAACGCTACGGATACGGTAACAATTAATTGAAATACACGCGCCCGGACGTCGATATTATTTCCCGCGACCTCTCAGATACACGTCGATGCTCCTCCGTCTCTTTTTGCTTCTCGCTCCGTTCGGTAGCTTCCTGTTTTCAATTTTCGGTCTTTATCGCGAGGCGAAGAATTGCTCTGGGGAATACGTCGCTCCGCGCTCGCGTAAAGAAGCACGGTCTTAATTAGTCGCGCGACAACGTCATTCTGAAACAGGCCAGACATCGACGTAATTAAGCGCTGCGGTGAAAATATAAAAGCTTGAGCTCGTTTGCCCGGGCATCTCGCTCGCGACGTGAAAAATTCAGTGAATGAAAACAATGTTGCGTTGTTGTTGGTTGAGAGAGAGAGAGAGAGAGAGAGAGAGAGAGAGAGAGAGCGCTACACCACCCGCGCGCGCTAAGAACACGCCTATGAGAAATAGTTGAAAGAGCTGTGAGAGCTTATTAAGCGCTCGAATGATTATTAAATTTTTCCGACTCTTGTACGTTCTTCCATTTCTTTGCTCGTTTCATATGCACGCAGCGTCCTTTATTAAATCTCTTATATTCGAGCTACACCTCCCTCCTTTGATTTTCTCTCAAGTTTCTCATGCATACGTGTATAAGTACAACATATTAATATTGATGAAGGACAAGGTTACCTGTGCGTGTGTGTGTGTGTGAGCGATCCCTTTTTCTGGTCGCGGTAGCCGACGGTACGGCAAAACAAAAATCACGCTTAAGAAAAACGCTCGGTGCGCACGCGCGCCATATCAAACGTTCTCGCCGCGTCTCTCCCGCTCTCTTCTCGATGTCCCGCGAGTTTTCGTGCGCTGTCAATTGCGATATTTGGAGAAAAAGATAACATCGTTTGTCCGCGAAAGAGAGCGC